AGAGAGTTTGAGAGAGATCTTGAAAGAAAGCTTGAGAGAGAGAGAGAGAGAGAGCTTGAAAGAGAGCTTGAGAGAGAGAGAGCCTAAAAGAGAGCTTGAGAGAGAGAGAGAGAGCTTAAAAGAGAGCTTGAGAGAGAGAGAGAGAGCTTGAAAGAGAGCTTGAAAGAGAACGAGAGAGAGAGAGCTTAAAAGAGAGCTTGAGAGAGAGAGAGAGAGAGAGCTTGAAAGAGAGCGAGAGAGAAAGAGAGCTTGAAAGAGAGCGAGAGAGAGAGAGAGCTTGAAAGAGAGCGAGAGAGAGAAATAGAGAAAAAAAGAGAGAAAAAGGGAGCGCGCGCGCGCGAAAGAGAGAGCTTCAGAGAGAAATAGAAAGAGAAATAGAGAGAGAGAGAAAAAAAGATCGCGCGCGCGAGAGAGAGAGAGAAATAGGCGGCGAGAGAGGTCGGGTTAATCGTTAAAATGGCGGGCCAAAGTTGAAACATGTTCCTCGTCGACGGTGCCGCATCGCAAATATACATATTTCTGTGCGCGTAGGTGGCCGCGGGCGGTCTGTAATACGCAATTTCTGTTGGCGCAATTAAAACGCGCCGTGACGTAGCCGTCCGGGCTCGAGTTGATGATGCCGATGCCGCGGCAGGTTGTAAACGCGCGTCAGAAACACGGCTGGTCGGTGCCGAGTAACATTGTAGCCAGGCGTTCGGTGCTCGCGTGACCGTGCTCTCGGGCCGCTGGCCAGCCCGGCGGCGCTTTTTTTTCACGTAAAAGATTAAAAAGGAAACAAAGCGTGGTGCACGACAAAAGCGCGGAGCGCCGCGCTGCGCCGGGGCGAGCCGAGCCGCGCGCGTTCCCCGTCGAATAAACGGCCGTTCCCGGGGTATATTAACGCGGAGAGCCGGGGGCTGCGGGGGCGGCGGTGCTCGCGGAATGAAGTTCGCCGGGACTTGACGGAACAAGCAACCGCGATAATGGTTTCGGAAGCGGGCGAGAAGCCACCGATGCGATGGGAGGAAGATCCGACGGGTGCATCGGGGCCAGGCCGGGTAATTAGAGGGTCGGGGAGCCGTATGAAGCGGCGAGGCGAGGCGCGGCGGCGGAGGCGGAGGCGGCAACCTCAGATTGAGGAGATACGCGGGAAAAAAGGAACACCGACCCGCGGACAAAAACCGACAGAGACGGATAAGGGCTGCGGGAAAACATCGGACCGGGAAGAAAGTCGTCGGGAAGCCGATGATGCACTCCGCGGTTACTTCTATCGCTGATTTCGTCTACGAAAGGGTGAGGGCGAGGGTGTTTTCGGGCAGCTCGGAGCGAAAGACACCCGCAAACCGGCAGTGTATGTGTATGTATTTCGCCTCGAAACTTGGCGAACATGATTTCATTCGTTTTTGCGAACACTTGGAAATGAAATCGTTCAGTCTCTGAACGGAGATTATTTTCGCGTCTTTTCCTCGTGTTCACGGTCTGTCCCAGAAGAGCGTGTCGGCGATACCTCCGTAAATCTTTTCTTCTTTAACCCTTTGCGTGCCAAAGTATTTTCTTCATTTCACTTCGGAATTTGCTACAACGCGATCCAAACGTATGTAACCATGTATGTAACTTTGCAACCTATTTGGAACTGGAAATATTACAATTGTTTTACCGACCACATGCAATTGCGTAATTTACCATGTAATTTATTTGGAAATGTAATGCTCGTAATGAAAATAAACTATTAACGCAAAAGTCGATGTCGCGACTGACTCGACGTAGGAGTGCAAAGGGTCAATAGCGGTTTTAATTCCGTCTGTTTGCGATGATAATAATTTTTGTGCATTAAAATTGTTCAACGAGTTAAAACAAGCTCAAACTTATTTTTGGTACGTCACGTAAAAATTCAAATTCGATACGTGCTCTGAACAAAAGAATTTGACAATTTTTTGTGGATGAATGTACGAATTATTGCCTCTCTTTTTATAGATGAGAACTATATGAATTGTTTGCTAATAAATTGTACAATCTTCAGATATTCCTACATTATTATTTATCCTTCATACATTGTCATTTCTATATGAACATTCAATAAGCCAGAAAAAACATCTGCGTGAAACGTTGTTTTAATTGTTTGTATAAATTCCATTATATTCTCGTTTACATATTTATACATTGTTGTCGTCTATGAGCATTCGACAAATCAGACAGAAATGTAGAAAACCTTCCCCGATCAATTATACAAGTTCCGCTATGTATGCACAGCAAATTCTCTCCAATTGTCCCTCGGCGAGTCCCTAGTAAATTCTCCCTAATTGACGCGCAAATTATACGCAAAAATAGACAATTTGGAAGAGGAGATACGATCATCCCAGCCTCGCTTTTATAGTAGTTGACAATCGGCGACTATAAAAACGAGTCGCGAGGCTCGAATATTCGTGTCTCCTCTCCCCAAACCGTCTATTTTCGTTTACAAGCTAAAGAACAATCGGAGAGAATTTACTGCACTTCCTTCCAACACATTCACTTTTCATTTGCATGCCGCAATTTTCCCGCGAAAAATCACAGACACGTGAAAGAAGAGGGCCAGTTTAAAAACCAACAGCCGCTACGAATCACAGAGCATCGTCTAACATTACAGCGCAGCGCCAACATTTCACGTGAAATTTCGCTCGTCAACATCGCGCAGAAAATCGTCGAGGCAGTAGTAATTTCCGTGTCACGGGTCACGAAAGACGGGTTCGATCTGCGGGTCTAGAACGCGGAAAGCGCCGCGACCGAAACAAACGCGGGAAACGCAACCGGGCAAGAATCGGTCGGTGAATTTTCCTTAAAAAAACGAAAGGCGAACACCGACCGGCGTGGTCGGCGACGCGGCGAAAGACGAGATAACGATCGAAATTACAAGCCGGTGACACGGGAAAAGGCGAGCGACAAACGATGCAAAGAGTGTAACGACGGAGGAGGCAGCCTCGGCTGGCTGTGGACAGATAAAAAGTCGGACGAAGACGGATAAGAAAGAGGGACGATAAAAAGGGGCCCGCGCGACCGTCAGGAAGTGCTGCGGGCTGCGTCCCCTATTGCATGCCGCGTATCCACCTTCCTGGCAATTTTATGTACACGGTAGGCGGATCGTTGGCTAGCTGGAAGTTCGAGATGAGAGGCTGGATAGCGGAGGCCAGCCGCCGGCGCCGGTCGAACGAGCTGCCGTATAACGAGAAAACTGCCAGCGATATCCGTCGGACCGGCCGGAATTTCATTTTTACATCGCGCCGTATATTTCGCGGACCTATCTGCTCTCGATCATCGGGCGAGCGTCGTTTATCATTAGCACGCGACTCTTTGTTATCTTTTATCTTTTTAATTCGCCGGCGAACGCCGGACGCGCCGGCGTATCTTTACTGTTATCTCTTTTTATCCACCGACGCGAGCTGTCCTAGCTTGGCGAGCTTTCTTCGAGAAGGAATTAAAACGTTGCCGGATTAACCAGGTACAACTGCTGCCCGCAGCATTAATTATTAACGTATTGCCGCGCAGCGTTGCGGAATAAAAGGGAACGCGAGCGTGTGTGCGCGTTTGAAAGTCGCGTGGGTACGTGATACACTGCGTGGATTAATGCGATTTTATAGTTCTCGTGCGGTTCTTTCGTTGCGGATAACACGGCGAAACTAGACCACGGCAGTTGGATCCGTCGGATGCATGGAAAAGAGAAAATCAGGAGAGCTGGACGGGCAATGTTCGACGAATAATATATGAATTTTTGGTGTACGGAGAGTTTAATCAGTTTAATTAGTTTAATCCTTGTATGCGGAAGGGCCATAATGTACAGAATAGGCGAACGAAAATCTCTTTAGTACAAGTGCGAGGATTGCACTAATTGCAATCGTTCGACAAGAATGATCAACAATACACGATCCCCGTTGTTTCCTTGGCAATTTCCTAATTTCTCTGCTGGAATCCTAGGATAAGTAAGCCTGGCATTACTAAGGCAATTATGATTTCAACTAAATACACCTTCTTCTATTATTTTAATTTGTTATTAACGAAACGATCGATGCCAAGGATCACCTCAATACTTTATCCGATAAACTCCTAATAGGCTCCTGTTATATAATAAACATTCTCCAATAGGCTCCTGATATACAAGGTGTCCCAAAAATGTCTCGCAATCCGGAAATGGGAGGTTTCTAAGGTCATTTGAAGCAACTTTTTCCTTTGCGAAAATTTTCTCCGGGGCTTCGTTTACGAGTTATTAACGAAAAACACTCACCAATAAGAGGTGAGCTCGGCTGGCGCACGGCGGCCCAGCCAACGAGTGCACGGAGCCCAGTTCCGCTCATTGGCTCGGCCGTCTCGCGCCGAATGATCTCGCCTCTGATCGATCACTGTTTTTCGTTATTAACTCGTAAACGAAGCCGCGGATTGCATTTTCGCTCAGGAAAAAGTTGCTTCAAATGACCTCAAGAATCCCCTACTTTCGGATTGCGAGACATTTTTGGGACACTCTGTGTAATAAATATCCTCCAATAGGCTCCTAATATATAATAAACTTTCTCCAATAGGCTCCTGATACATAATAAATATCCTCCAACAGGCTCCTGATACATAATAAATATCCTCCAACAGGCTCCTGAACAATCACCGCATCAAAAATGAATTCTCCAAACGATCTTTTCCGAACACTCCTAAAAGACCTGTTGATTCAAATAACAAAATTGCAATTGTTACTGACAAATCTACTAAGAAACCCTTAACTATAAATAATAGACATAGATAGTAGTGGACTGTGGACGATCATGCAACGTCGACAAAATCGAAGCCGCAAACATTAGCGCCGCTGAAAAGAAATCGCGAGCTCAACGCCCCCTAAAACTCAGTCCAAATCGCACGAAGATCCACAGATCCACCACCCCGTCGAAAGTCGTCGAAGCAAGCACGCGGGGGTTAATTGGCCGGCAAATCGATTAAAGAGCGCGCAGGACGGTGCAGATGGGAATCGGGCGATAGTTCCCAGGGCTAAGAAGATTTCAGCTTACCTTTTGGCGGGTTGACGTGCAGAGCCGAACGGTAGAGGCTTTCCTCGTCGTACCAGTCGGCGTTCCTCAGCAGGGTCTTGGCGGACATCAGGCAAAGCAGTACAACGGTGGCCAACAGAACCGTCCTGCCCCTCCGCCTGGACCCGCTTCTTCTTGCTATCCGATAGCATCCGGAGATCGCAGCGCCGACGATCAAGCAAGCCCCGACGCTCGGCAAATAGAGGATCCTCTCGGCTATGACGAATCCGACGTAGAAGAAGAGGTTGCTAGCCGGTAGGAAGGGAAGCACGAGGAAGCCGAGCGAGACTGCGACACCGGTGGCTGCTGCCTGTCTGCTGGTGAATCCGTTGCCGGCTGTCACGGAGTTGCTGGTGGCCCTTTTAGCACAGTGACAGTCCCCGAACGGCCCGTTGTTGTTGTTGTTCGCTGCACGACAGCCGTCCGTGTGACATCCGCCGATGCGTCTTCCCGCGCAAACCGGGCACCTCGAGGACATGGACCGGGGGTATATCTGCACGAGGCTTAGGGAAACCTCTCGCGGCGTTCGCCGAAGTATTTTAACCGCCCAGATCGTGGCGCCGATCAGCGCCGCGTACAGGCACGCCGATTCCAGGTTCCGGAAGTCGAACAGGCTCGTTATACGCGGCACCGCGTCCATGGACCAGTCGAAGCTCAGCGTGCTGGGGCACAGCAACATCCTCGCACTCGCAGCTGGTAAATAGAGGAACGTCAAACCCCGTGTCAGCCGAGACGGGTGTCTGGCCGTTGGATTGTCTGCGCTGGCGAACTCGGGCCGCGTGCCGGTGATCCTCAGCCTGCCGAGGATCAAGAGGACCAGGCTGCCCGACAGGATGCCCAGGCTGCGGGTGCGGGTCAGGCCGCAGTTCACCTGGAAACGGTGAGCAATTTAACCCTTTGCACTCCGCTGTCCCCTCTCGCGGGACATCGTAATTCTAGCATATCACTCGGATGTCCCCTCTCGTGGGACATTAAAGTTTATTAGTGATTAAGGGGGAATTGAGTTATTTCAGCGCAACTTTTTCAGACATGCATGTTTCCCTGACGTTTTCTCTTGAAATGGCACAAGAAATCAAATCAAAATATAGTAAAATTACTAAGATATGTAGTATCGTAATTTATTAGGTATGTTTAGGACGAGGAGGAGTGTTAGGCTTAAGACCGTAGTTCTAAGACTTTGTGTTTAGGCTAGGCAATAAAAAGAGAAACGTTGGCGAAGGCCGGGTCAGATGGGAAAAAGCCTTGGCGACGGAGACCCGGCGGATGCGATCGCCACGTTTTGAGAAAAAGGCAGGCAGAGTGTGTTCGAGAGTCGTCGAGTGAGGAGCGTTACGAGTCGTAGAGTTAAGCGAGTAGTTATAATCTTAGTTGTAGATACGGTACGCGATATTCTCTGTCTTCATCACGCCCAGTCCTTTCCTAGTCTCTACAGATTCAATATTGTTTAAATATTGGACAAATTTTTACAGATATATAGAAGAAATGTCAGCGGGTTTTTTGACGAGAACGTGAGAGGCGTGCTCAGGACGGTCCGAGCACTTCAAAGGCGCCACTTGAAAAGTGCGATAAGGCAAGTTTTTAGAAGAAAGGTCGGTATGCGAGCATAGCACGCACTGTGTAGTGAGATTTGTAATCATAAAATCTGGAGGAAAAGTTTTTCAAAGCTAAACTCAGTCTGGTTTGAAGCGTCGAGCGGTATAGATAGACATAACTTGCTAAATTTATGAATCGAAGAAACTATTTCTTCGGGAACCTCATGTTTCGCATGAAAAACCGCAGTTCATTGGTTTGATCGTGAAACATTATCCTCAAATTTATTATTAGATATTCAAATTTCTAAAAAAGAATTAAAATAACAAGGTTGCATATTCCCTCTTCTGGAACACAGAGCTCTGCTCCACGTGCACCAATGCAGTTGCCATCGCTCGCGTTCGCGTGCTGCCCCATTCTCTTTGTCAATGTCCCGATGATTATAAATATTTGAAATCCGGAATGATGTGATCCGGAATATGATATTCCACGCGCGGTAATAAATCGGCAAGCTATGAAATACCTTCTTTTTATTCGAAACCGTCCAATGAGGGAAATCCGATTGGAAAAACTGAGTATACGCGTGCTTTTCAATCAGGCTGACTGACGCGTGTTTGATCATTATTCGCGACTCTCATTAGTAATAGGACATGTTCGAATTACTTGCTAAAGATCCATTTACATTAACCATAACGCGCCGTCCGGGCGATTCCTTCGATAATATTTTCTGAACTCGACTGAGTCGAAATCGACAGCTTCGCGCGTGCGACCAAAATGAAAATATTATTGTTGATGAAATTATTGTTTATAATGCGGAAAATATTCCGCGTAAAATTCGCATAGCAAGAAGAACTTTTAATTAGATTTTTAAGGATATTCAGATGTTATTATATGTTATTTTCAAAAATAATAATATCGATATTCTTCGAAGTAGCATTTCTATCGACAAATTTGTATAATAAATCTTACCTACTCTGGGTGACCAGAGCATTCAAAAAGATGCTATTAAATGATTTCATCCCTCTCTATAACGCGTGTATAATTTTATAAACGCGGTTTTAAAGCGCATTTGGTAAATTTAACGATGCTGCGTGATTATCTGCAAACTTTGAAAAGTGTTCAGAACGAAATTAAATTTTTATCGAACTGCTACTTGTTGCAGTTCACATACGAAATTTTTATTTTGCGTACAGATCCGCCCTCTAATAATGAAAAACGGAAACATGAGTGGATTAGAACGACGCTAATATCGCAAAGGGATGCAAAATGCTACGACCATCGCTCGAAGACGGTACGAAAGATAGAAATCCGCTGGTATCGAGCAAAAATAGCGTTGAAACGCACTTCGGGGGTATCGTACTCGTAATCGTCGTCGTTGCGCCGACAGCCGGACGATTCTCAATCGGTTATGAACGATAAAATTCCAGCAACAATCCCGGCTGTTTTACGCGATTTCAACCCGTCACCGGGAACAAGTGAAATCGGGCGATCCGATATCATTCGGGATTATGAAGGATCGCGCGGCTGGGAACGTCTGGCGTCGTAAAATATTCATGCCTTTTTAATAGACCGGCATCGAAATAGCTCGAAGACAGGAATTACAGCCAGAAGAGGATTAATCGAAAGTTCGCGAGGACGGCCGGTCTATTGACAGAGTTTCGCTCGTAATTAAATGGAATCTTAATAACATAATCATCGAATGCGCTCCGGGAGCAAGAACCCGACCGCCCGGTTTCCTCTGGGAATATAATTTAAATGAAACGGCTCGTATCCGGGAGCAGTTCCCGAACTAATTTGACCGGGCTGCGCAAACACAAGCCGTTCCGTTCACAGGAACGGCTCGCGTTCGTTCCGAAAAGATTAATTCGCGGCGACCGTACATTTCGGTGGAATAGAACGCACGCGGTTGCGTTTCTGATGCAGCTCGATGCAATTTGATGCGACCACCGGTCGCAAGACAATAGACGGAGCGCGACGAGACCCGGTGAGAAACGCGCGAAGAAAACAGAATAATACGGTAATTTTACAGTAATCCCGAAAATTACAGAAATATAATTATAGAATGTATATATATAATTACAGAAATATAAAAATGACAGAATTTAATTTATTCAGATTTTTCTCTATTTCGATTGTAAGCTTGAACGATGGAATTTATTCAATCGTTTTCCAACCTCTTGCACTAGGATCTCTTTCGCGATGTAGATCAGCATGTTTTTGTCGTTAATAATTTCTAATAAAATTTTTACTTGTCGTATATTCGCGTAAAAATGTGACGTGATAGGTGATGGTGGGATATTACACCCCGTTCAATTTCTTTAAGGAAATATCTAAAACAATAATTTTAGTAACGAAATTTTTTTTATTATTATTATTGTCATTTTGTTTAAAGCGGATTGATAATTTAAATATTGACAGAATACGTCGTGCTGCAATTTGATAAAAGACACGCGAACTCGGCGCAACGCGTTCAACCCTTAACCTTACATTGTTACAATTACATTAACCTTGTTTTACACTCTGGCAAATTATTATAATTGTTTCGCGACCAACAATTAACGACTTATCGATCCTGATCTCTCGAGAACGCTATTGATGAATGGATTCTCCGCGATGGAGAATTCAAACGTTCCGTGGTCGGTCGCGCTCGAACGAGTTCCTTTCGCGTTTTCCTTGGAGCCGGTTGTACAGAGAAAAATAGCGCGCCGCCGAGAGTTCCGAGAGGAAGCGAAAAGGCGGCAAGCAAAAAACCGTGTAGCGAATATAATTACAGTTGGTTATCACGGAATCGCGGAGGAAAGCGCGCGCGGCACGCTTAATCGACGCGACGCTCTTGAAAGTCGGCGTTCCGCGCAAATGAAAAGTAACGTCGAAAGCTTTTAAAGCAAGCCCGGGGACGGCCGAGCCGCGTAATACGAAAGCGACATTTTAATGTTAAATTGCGAGCCTGCGGAAAGAGTCGCCGCGATAATTGCACGTTCCAGAATCGTGCGGGCCCCGGGCTTTGTCGGACTCCGCGATAGAACGTTCAGCGATAGATTCGCAGGCTCGACAGTGCGCGACCATGTTTTCATTCCGAAAATTAAAGGAAAAACCATTGTTTATTTCGTCGCTGACTGGTCGAGCTTCGGATCAAGATCGAAAGTGAAACGTAAAAAAAAATGAAAGAAAATATCGATTATTTGTTTACAGTTTCGTCCAATTGTTTAAACAATTAATGAATCGTGCACCACGCTATAGATTTGGACGAAAGAAACTACTTTTGTTCGAAGATTTTTCCTCCATCTTGTACAATTTGCAACGAAATCGAAAGCCGAATATTTGGGGGTTGATCCCCACCCCTAGAAGCGAATTAATGTAAGAAAAAAAAATTGCGTAATGTGTAAGTAAAAAGGTGTAATAGTAATAGATTGTATAATAAAAGTATATGCAAGTAAAACTGCTGTAAACATTATTTGTTCTCCTCGAGAAATATTTATTTATAAAAAAATTGTTAAATGATATATTTAGATACCTGAAAAATAAAATATAAAAAATGTATAGAATTATATATTACAAAGAAATATATATTTAAAATTTTGTAGACAGTTTTTGACACACCCTCCAAGCGTTTTAGGGTGAACTCGTTAAATCTGAAGCGATGAATATATTGGACGTGGTAAAGGACGCGTAACAAAAATTTGTGAAAAACGTGAAACTCGAAGAATTGAATTCTGGCCGCGATAAAGGTGTTTCCAGCCCACTGTGCACCGTCAGTTAGAGCGTGGGCGGGTTGGAGGGGTGCCAAGGGTCGTTCGCGTTTCCGACACCCTTCGCGGAGGAGCGTAGCGCGGGAACTCGATCTTCCTGGCTGTTCGTAGCCTGTCCTTGCCAGCCGTAGCCCCCTGGCCCGTTTTCGCCATATTTTTCCTTCTATTATTGCGCGCCAGCCCCGGTTCCGGCGAGGCTCCGCGCCGCGAGGAACACGGCGAAATCGTTTTCTTCGCGAGCTTCTTGCCGGCCGCGTGCTGAGCCAAGAACGCGAGGCGTCGCAAAGCGGAAACGTCACCGACGACCTGGAACCTCTCCTCCCTCGTTTTCCGCTCGCTTTGTCTCAGCGGCGAGAAAATATGCGCGCCGAGGATCGCGCTAGGCGACGCTAGGCGACGCGACGCGACGCGACGCTTCCTCTGCAGAAAACGAGCAACAAGGAAACAAATTGTGTGAACTCGCCGATCCGCTTGAACACGTCCTATTCGATTCGGCCGCTGTCTTCGCCGTTCCTTGTCACGCAACATGATTCACGGAAAATGATATCGGCTGCGATCCCGTTTCCGATACGGCGCGGCCGCATTCCCCGTT